AAAAAAAAAAAAAAAAATACTTTATCAAAAGTTTAAGTAAGTAAGTTAGTAATAACTTCATCATTCTTTTAAAAACAACATTTAAAATAAAATCAAACAAAGTACTATTATTATTGATCAATGACATCATTGAAAATAATTTTTAATAACAAATTAAACATGTTATTATCATTTAAAATTGTAAGAAAAATCAAATGAATTAAAAACAAACCGGATTTGAATATCCGGAAATTCCACAATAATTACTTTTAATTATAGCAAACAGGTAAAATTTTTTGAAAATGGTAAAAATAATCTATTTATTGCTAACATGAAAATTATTTTCTGGAAACCAAATATATAATTTTGGTAATAATTTAGATATTGAATCGGAAATGATTGGCCTAATGTTACACGGAAAATGACTGTCATCTAGTATTCAGGAAATGCATAATAAAATTCAATCAAAATTGCTTAAAAGAATTTTTAGATGAAAATTAATTCCACAAAAAAATTTTTTAGTTAATTTTTTTTTTTTCATTATGAGCCAAGCATGATTGATTTCGATTGAAGCCAAGTAATCTCTTACCATATTGAATTGTTATTTTGATGCATTCTTCCTCACTTCATCTATCATCATATATATCTAATCTTATCATAATGCATGCTATTTTGGTGTTCTCTTCATCTATCATCATATATCATTCATATCTACTAATCTTATCATAATACATGCTATTTTGTCATATCATAATGAATATTATTAGATATCAATTATCACTGATGTGATAATAGATGAAGAGAGCATCATAATCATTGGAAATAAGATCACTTCGAATTTTATATCGAATGACCAGTTTTGAATTAGAAGTAAGCATTAGCTGAGAAATTCATTAAATTAAACAATATTGATATAAAATTTAAAGGAGAAAAAAGATAGCAATTCAAATTTATAAATTTCATATAAGTTCTGATATTATTCATTTTCAATTTTAGGCAAATTTAAGCTATGAAACAACATGTGACAGCCGGATTGTTTATTATAATTAATTAATTACACTATTCATGACCATTTAAAACGAATGGATATATTGGGACGTGGACATTGGTTTTTCATAATGAGTGCGTAGTTTGGAACTGGGCCGTGCTTTGGTGCTTGAGCGCGGGACTTTGCGTGGTGTGCGTGAGACTTCACGTGAAATGTTGCACAGGAGTTGACCTTTAGTTGACCCAGTTATTTGAGAGGTTTCCAAGAAATGGTCGAATTCATATGAGGATTTACTAGCTTGGAAAATGTTCGTTCTGACTTTCTACTTTCGGAAGACCGGATTTCAATTTCCCGTTTCTTCCTGGAAATTCCTGAAAGTTATCCGGAAATATATCGCAGGCTAACAGTGTCATGAGCAGTGGGGGCATTTTATAAAGGAAAAGCAAAACAAAGTTACTTCTGGTCTTCTGGAATTTGGTGTAATTCATAAATTCACAAAAATTTCAAAATTTCTAGATCCCTTTTTGATCGATTTTAGATTTTAATACTTCGATATATCGTTTTGAGTAGCAATGTTGGTACGCCGCCTTACAGACTTCTTTGGTTACGTTGGATATGAGAGTTTGGCTTACCGTGCTTTCAGTAAAGGTATAATCCTGTTCCATAAATAGGCAGTTATCTGCGATAACTTAGCATCTTTCACCAGCGAAACTCAAACTAGTTTTTTTTTTGTCCGAAACTTTAGTCGGATTTCCAGGATTTGGTATGTCGGAGAGTGATGATGTAATAACATCAATGGCATCACTAGAAAATGTCTTCCAAGAGATAGAAAATCCAGCATCAACAAAAAAGTGGAATGTGGACATTATTTCAGCTGTAAAAGCTTTAATTCCGGAGGTAATATTTTTCAAACCTTATTTTTATTTGGCTCATTTGTTTGATTCAATATTAATGATGGTCCTTAATTGTCTGATTTATCTGCCACTCTAATTAAAAACGCTTTTGAATCCGTTGGAGTTGTTAATACATAGATTTTTATCACTTTTTTCTAACTCCATAATGCTCAGGGAGTTGTTTTCTAATGTAAGCATTAGCGTTCCTGGAAGTACTTCAATTGTGAAAATTTAAGAATGTCACCATTTAAGGTAACTAAGTACCAGTTAGTTTCTTATAGATTATGCAGTGCTTTTAAATGATTAGTTAGTAATCAGCTTACCTATAAATTTGTAATTCTGTAATCACGAGTATGTGTCTACAGTTCTTAGCTAATGGTTCATTATTAATTTTAGATTATTTCTTCCGCAGAAATGGAAAGGAAATGTGTTTATTTTAAGAAGTTATCGGAAAATGCCCATATCCCAACTTACGGATCAGAATGGGCAGCTGGAGCTGATCTCTACAGTGCTTATGACTGTGTGATACCCGCAAAGGGTGATTTTTTTCATCTACTAGCTAAAAATTCGACCCTCATCACTGATGACTGATATCATTCCTTAACTAGTATTTACTTCATTATTAATACTTCTTGCTTATTTACAAAATGGTTTCTCAAGATTCTCCACTTAAAAGAACACTTTTGTAGATAAAGCTTCTGTTGGGACAGATCTGCAAGTTCAAATTCCACGAGGTCATTACGGTAGAATAGCGCCACGCTCAGGTCTTGCTGTCCAAAAATTCATTGATGTAGGTGCCGGAGTTGTTGACTCGGATTATAGGGGTCACCTTAGTGTGGTGGTTTTCAATTTTGGTACCGAAGATTTCCATGTAAGTTTACAAAAGTAATTATCGAATAAAAAAAGGGCGATTTTTTATTAGCTCATATTGCGCAACATAACATCATTTAATATTATTTTGAAAAAAATGGTATACATAATGAAATTGGAAATTTTTAGGTAAAAAAAGGTGATCGAATAGCCCAATTCATCTGTGAGAAAATTTCTCACTGCGATTTCATCGAGGTGAAATCACTAGACAAAAGTGATCGTGGTACGGGTGGATTTGGTTCAACAGGTGTATAATATTTTAAATACAACATATATGCCGAATTAGAAATTCCAACATAATATTTTACTCATTAAACTGCAGTTGTTTTATTTTGTCAAATAATTGTTTTCTATTTTAAAGTTTTTGCATTTCCAGATGTCTATATATCTCTCCCTTTTGTTCATGGTATTTTAATTAAATTTATACCTTTTATTGACTTTGAGATAAGTACTTTTACCAGATATGGTTCAAATAACTTCATTAAACGTTGTTTGTTTATGTTGGCGTTATGAATGATAATTTCTTAGCAGAAACTTTTTGGTGAGAATGATTACGCGGGCCTCATTTTAATAATCTTTAAGATTAAGTTACATACTTATTTGGTCTCATCACGTCCTTGTATTTTTTTTTCTTTTTTTGAAAAAAGCAAGTGGCATATTGCTGTTTAGCAGTTATGTTAATGCTTTTCAAATATTTAATTTGTTGTCTTGACAACTTATTTGCCCATGCAGAGTATGTGCTTATTGTTTTTTCTCTTTTTTGCACAATATATTTCGCCTTGTAATTTTTCATCACAGCATTAAAATGTAAGACATTTCTTTGCAGTTTATTAAATATTATGGACAAGAACGAATAATTTAAAAAAAAAAAGAAAAAAATCAAGGGATAAATCAAATTTGATGCACTGAGACTGACTACTTTCCCTTTTCCTTTCATTTTGCTGGGAATCAACAATCACTTTCTGTAGTTTGACTGCTGCTGCTACCAGCTCACACATTTACTTTACGTGAATAAAGTTCAATTTACTTAGCCTTAGATAGACAATTGAAGTGAGAATTGGACTAAATGGATTATTAAACATCAATCTGATATGCTGAAATACTGTCACATATGAGATTTTCTCCACTTTCCCTCTTGTTTTCTTAGAAATATTATGAGAAGTTGCTAATGCTTACGAAATATGTTTTGTGCTCCTGTGAAAATTTTAGGAGTTCTAATTTGATCAATTAGTCAATTAGTCATCATCGGTAATTATGATAACAGATTAAATCAGAATAAGTCTACATATCTAAGATATCTCTTATGCATACTAAAACATACAATTGCATAATGAAACATAATGTTTATTTGTTTTTAGTTTTGTTTATTTCTGTAATTTATACAAAATGAAAATATATATGTGTGTGTATATGTGTGTGTGTATGTGTGTGTATTTGTGTGTGCGTGTGTTTGTGTGTGTGTATGTGTGT